TTTCACCCACCAGTGTGATTTTAAAAAGACATAAATCTAGGCTGGGGCAATGCGGTTAGGACTAGGCATGCTCACCAAGGACAGAGAACAAGTTTTGGCTCTAATTTAATGGTGTCTTTGGTGCAACTGACCCTTGAGCTTACTGAAAGTGTACCTGGTGGGCCAGTATTATTATTATTATTATTATTATTATTATCATCATCATCATCATCATCATCATCATCATCATCATCATCATCATCATTATCATCATCAACATCATCAGTAGTAGTAGTAGTAGTAACTGGATTTCTGAATCACCCCATCGCTGAGTACACAGGGCTCTGGGCCATTTACAACAAATTAAAAACATACAAAATACAGATTAAAATCACCAATACATTTATCTTAATTACTCAGTCTCCAGATGGTGTCTGTAATTTAGCTTAAAAACCCGCTCAGCTGTTCTTCCATCTCGCGGGCAGGTTAAGGAGGAGGCCGAATGGGCAAGATAGAAACGAAAGAGAAGTAAAAGAAAAGGGTGCCGGCTATGGTGGAAGGCCGTTGCCGTCCTCAACCAGAAGTCTGGCGGAACATCTCTGCCGTACAGGCCCTGCGGAACGGCATTAAATCCCGCAGGGCCTTGATGGGATTTGGCAGAGAGTCCCACCAGGTCGGAGCCAGGGGGCCGAAAAAGCCCCAACTCTGGTCGAGGACAGCCGGATGCCTTTGGGGCCAGGGAAGGGCTACTGGTGGCCACGGTCAAGTGGAACCAGTTGTTCCATGAGATAGCAGCTGTAGGGTTGGTTCAGAATTGGGCTGTGGCTAGGGTTGCCAGCTCTTGATTTTGACATGCCGGGAGTTTCTGAGGGTGGAGCCTGGGGTGGGGAGGGCTTGGGGAGGGGAGAGACCTTAGTGGGGTACAGTGCCATAGAGTTCACCTTCCAAAGCAGCCATTTTTGTCAGGGGAACGGATCTCTTTTGCGTGGAGACCAGTTGTAGTTCTGGGAGACTGGCAGTGCTAGCTACGACAGTCATGGTGACAGGTATGTGCTGCAGTGCTGCCCACAAGGACCATTTGATTAAACTTACTGCAGAGTTGTTTCATAGCCCCTGGCCATTTCTAGGCACTCCTATTTATTTCATGCACTAGCAACGAATTGGCTCTTGTTTTCTAAAGAGAAAATACAGTGGTACACTTGGGGATAAGAACTAAGTTCATACTTAGATGGGAGACGACCAAGGAAGTCTAGGATCACAACACAGAGACAGGCAATGGCGAGCCACCTCTGTTCGTCTCTTGCCTTGAAACCCCCTGGGATCGCCATAAACTGGCTGCGACTCGGTGACATTTTTCCGCCACCAAAGCTGCACACCAGCCCAGATGTTGCATTGCTTGACTAACACATAGCCAGAGACACTGTGGTGGGAAGGGAAGCAAGGCACTCCCCCTTCCCCCTTCGGAAGCAAAGGAGAGATCCACCCCTGGGTCCATGGTCAAACTGCAGTCACTGTTAGGACATCTGAGTCTGGAAGTTGGCTTAGTCACCACTGCGTGGGTATCCTCAAGTTCTGGGTGAAGGATTGTCTCACTGACTCATACCACAGTTTCGATCCAGCCCTTGGTCTCTCCCAGCAGCCAGTAAACGTCCTCTGAGCAGTTTGCCAACAAAGTGTAGATCCCGCCTCCAGGGGGCGCTAGTGTACCACAGTGGCTAAGCAGTGGTTTTGGAGGTCCCCAATTCAGATGTTGCCCCTGCCACAATCTCCTTAGATGGACCTAGATGAGCTTCTCAGTCTCAATTCCCCACTTGCACTAAGGAAATAATAATACCGTGGGATGCCAGCCTCCAGGTAGGACCTGCCCCGCCCCCAGAATTACAACTCATCTCCAGACTACAGAAATAAGTTTCCCTAGAGAATATGGATGCTTTGGAGGGTGGACTCTGTAGAATTGTACCCCACTGAGGTCCCTCTCCTCCCCATGTGCGACCCCCAAATCTCCAGGAGTTTCCCAACCTGGAGTGGGCAACCCTACCTGGTACCCAGTGACACCAGTGGAAAGCTGCTTGTGTCTTTGTTTCTGAGTCCTGTATTTGCTGGGGAAATAATGGAAAGATCTCTCCCAACAACCAGATTTCCAAGAGCACAAAGTGACTGAAATAACTGGAAGCTTGTCATTTTATTCCAATTCATGAGCTAATGCAGAGTGTAAAAAAGAAAACAATAATTTCCAAATAAAATGGGGGGCAACCAGAACAGAAGGGCTATGTGGAATGCAGTTTGGTAGATCTTACATATTCCTCATGAAAATCTTGCTTTGTTTATGATAGATTTGGCAGGAACTTACTTCAGTCCTGTGAGATTTTATTCCCCCAGAAGGATATGTAGGATGAGAAGTTTAAATGGGTACTATCCAGTGACAGATAACTCACACACACACACACATACATATATGATTAAAGATAAGATGGCCAGTGTTTATCAGTGGCTTTCCCCCTTTCTTGGACTGGAAGCAGCCTGAAGGATATGACTGGTGTAAATTATTAATTATTGCTGATTATAAAGCTGGTATAATTAAGTAGCAAAGAGAATCAGCTGGGAAAACTGTGATTCAGATCTTATTTTTGCTTACTAGGCTGCTGCAGGCCTAATAGGCCGACCCCTTCCTGTAATAAAACGCACCTAGAATGCAAACTGGTTGTAATTAAGGATTAACAACCTAATGGGCTTTTCTGCGTCCTCATTTTCTTTGCTTGTATGTTCCCACTTCTTCAGGAGGAAGGGGTCTGTTCCGCACATGTTTTGCTTCTTCTGGTGGTCAATTCAATATTACACTGGTTTGTATCCGCATAAAAACCTGCGGTTTAAATCTGCAGGGAGATATGCTGAACATAAACCAGTGTAATATCGAATCTACCACTAGAGGGAGCAAAACACATACAGAACAGGGGGAAAAAACTACCTGAAGAAACAGGAACTTACAAGCAAGGCAGAAAAGCTCAATGTGTGTGAGGCACTCTGCCTGGGCATTTGGAACAAGATACAAATTCAGCTCAACAGGGGAAAACGCAACAATCAGGTGCACAGGTACAGAACAGGGGATGCCTGGCTTGGCAGTCGATCACAAGCTGAACATGAGTCAGCCATGTGATATGGATGCAAAACAAGGTGTCACACGAGCTGGATGACCCCTCATCGCTATCGCTGGTCCCCAACTGCTGCGAGCTATTCACCACCTTGCCCCGCCACCCAGGGTGGGGGGGAGAACTACAGAGGCCTCAGACACTCGGGAGGAGAGGAGGTTACGCCACCACCCTCCAAGCTCCCTCGGCTTGGTCAGACAGTTCGTTCTCTCTCTCTCAGCTTCTGTCTGTCATTTTCGCCAGTGCCTTGTCATCCTCTTTGGCCTCTGCCTTCGTTCTCCCTTTTATTTCCCCTCCGTTCCACCTGTCTTCCCCTGTCTTCCACCCTCCACCCTCCTCCTTGGCCCCGCCCCCTTCTCTTATGCAGGGATGCTGAGCCTTGGGTGTGGTTTCCTCCTGGCTCTCCGGCTCCAGCCCTAGTGGCCGTGGCTGTCCCGCATCTCTCCATCCCCAAGCTGCTCTGGGCCATTGGTGGTTCCCCCATGCCGGGCCAATGGCCCGGCACGGTCCCCTGCTCGCTTCCCAGGATGCTTCCCCACGGGGCCGGTCGCTTCTCGGGGGTGATGTCGTCCGAACGCTCTGGACTGGCTCTGCCAGGCCCTGAGGGACATGTCGCCGCGGTGGCGGGTCGACCTCGGTCTCCGGTAGGTTCTGTCGTGGACTGGGTTGGGGTAGCCGGCGGCGTTGGGGTCCCGAGTGGCGGTGGCCAGCCCTGGGGTGGCCCACTCTCGGGACACAAGGCAAATGCAATTTTGGGCTGCATTAACAGATGCCTAGTATTCAGGTCACGAGAAGTAATGGCTCCACTCTGTTCTGTGCCAGTTTGACCTTATCTGGAGTACTGTGTCCTGTTCTGGGTGATGGATTTTATGAAGATGTAGGCAAAGTAGAACAGGTTCAGAGGAGAGTAATGAAAATGGGCAAAGGCCTGGAAAACAAGTCCTATAAAGAAAGGTAGAAGAAACTGGGAATGTTAGGCTAGAGAAAAAGGGGCTGTGGAGAGATGATCGCGATCTTCAAATACCCAAAGAGCTATCATATGGAAGAGCATGAAGGCAGAGGGCAAGAATAGTTTTAATGGGCTTAAGTTACTGGAGGGTGATTTCATTTGAACATTAGGGGAAACTGCCAAATGACAAGAATTGTGAAAAGAACCAATTACTTAGGGGTGGTGGGCTCTTCCTCACTAGAAGTCTTCAGGTGCAGACATCTGTTGACAATAATCTAGCTTGGTATTTCTTGCATTGTTCATGGGGTTGTATTAGATGGCTGCCTCTTTCAGTGGCTTCGCAAATTGCACTCAGGCAGTGCCCAAGCACCAAGGAGGGTTGCAATGCTTGTAAAGATACAAGCAAGCCCGGACTTAATGGGTTAATTATAACAAGGGCCATTTCCTAACACTCCAGCAGCCAACCAGAGAATCATATAATGCAATCTGACTACAATATAAACAAGATCATTGTTTTATTCAAAGATTTTTATTTGTTTGCCCACACTGACTTAGGGATGCTAGCCTCCGGGTGATACACAAATCTGTGCCTGCATGCTCCCGTGCCGAATTGGAAACACACAGTCGGAGTCCAACGAGTTAGATGAATATCTGTTTAATGCATTGAAACAGGGAATACAGGGCTGAGTGCCTGAGCACCTCAGCAGTTCCAAAGCTGTATTCTGCCATAACCAGGAAGGGCAGGAGGTCTTATACTCCAAATGACATCACATATAGTTTACACATTAAAGAATCTCTCATTGGTACCAAGCAGTTAACATCATATAAGCATAATTTGACTGAGTGCATCTCTCAGTGGTGTCAGTAATTACACTTTTTTACCTTGTCAGTAGAACACTGGGAGCATTAGAGAACACTGGGTCCTTCCTGGGCTCACATGTGAAGAGCTAGCTGATAAGGGTTGTGAATCACATTAAACTTCGCTCTCGGCGGCCTTGCAACTTCTAAATAGCATTCCATTCTTATTGCATCCTAATTCCTTCTACAGAGGCTTCTTATACACAGAAATGCAGATATAAAATATATGTTCTGCTATAAGTTTCTCTAATCAAAAGATTCTAAGTTACATACCAAAATCTGGATCTATTATGATTAAACTTTTAAAGGCACACTGACAGCTGTCAATATACATCAAGGAGAGAGTGTCAGTAATCACATTCAGAAATCACATTCTTTCCCTCTTGTCCTACAATCTCCCCTCTTGGTGAAATGAGCACCCTAAGGCTCATCAAGAGCTGAGTCCACTGGAACTGAGTGCTCAAGATCCTCAGCCCAATATCTGGCAACCATCATCATTTGTTTGACTCTTGAGCTGGGGGTTTTGGGGACTGCAGAAGCACAACAAGCTATTATGGTGGGTGTACATTGTATGCAGAAACAAATCCAAAAGATCAATAAAACTTTCACCAGAACAGACATTAAAACAGTATAAACAGTAGATCCCAAAACCAGTTGAACCAACTCCCAAACCAATCCCCCCCACCCATGAGAAGGTATAATTCCTTTTGAAATGTTTTAGATATCCCTGATGTTTCATTAAATAAAGACTAAATGATGAATCAGGTTCAAACAACACATGCCCTCAAATTGAGCGCAATTGTGTCCTGCCTTAAGCGTCAGGTAGTCTATAGCCATTCTATTTTGGTAGCCTTTTCCGTATCATGCAGATCACATAGCATACTCCCCAAAACCTAGGAAGCAAGGCTCCCTCTAAGCTGTGGAGTCTTCTGAGCAAAAATTCGACGTTGTGAGCTACTGGCATTAAAGTTGTAAGCAAGCAGTTTGGCTCTTGCATAAATGGGTTTGCTCTGGAGCCATCCTCCCTGAGCCAAGACAAAAATGTGTGAGCCGGAGGCTAAAAAACTGTGAGCTAGCTCACACTAACTCAGGTTAGAGGGAACACTGGTAGGAAGTGTCATTCATCAGATAGGTCAGTCTACAAGCAGAGTTGATGACAGCCAAGGCAGGGACCCCGACCAGAGAAGCGGCCAGGGCAATAGATTCACTGATGGAAAATAATCTCACGGAAGGGTCACATTTTTCATCGATCTCAATGTAGCTGCGCTTCCCTGTTTCAATGCATTAAACACAGGTGGGACCTGACTCTGGGGCATTGTACCCCACTGAGTTCCCGGTCCTCCCCAGACTCCGCTCCCAAATCTCCAACGGTTTCCTAACCTGGATCTGGCAACCCTACAGTGACTAAAAACAAAGAGAACAATAAATGCAGCTTGACTTGGCAAAAAAACCCTCACTCCAGCCACAGACGATTGCAGCTGGTCAGACCCAGTGGGGAAAGAACTGCAGATCACACTGAGCTTCTTTGAAGTGTTCGTGAACAAGCAGCGCAGCCTCTGGAAGGTTAGAGCCAGGGGTCATTTCCTGTGGGAGCGCACAGGAGCGGAGCTCCGGCAGGAAGGAGCCCAGGGGGCGGGCACATGCAACAAGCCCCGCCCCCTGCTCCCAGCAGCCCTCAGTTGGGCCACGAGGAGCAAGAAGCAGCCAGGTAAGTTGCAGAGCCCCCCCCCCGGCCTGCCTTCAGGTACAAGCTCTCCCTCCTCTGTGAGGGCAGATCTGCACATATCCCCTCCCCCATAGCTAGCAATCCAAAACAGTCCAGAGGCACCTTTAAGACCAAGTTTTGTTCAGGTACAAGCTCTCCCTCTTTGCGAGGACAGATCTGCATGTTCCCCCTCCCCCCCAATAGCTAGGAACCCAAAACAGTCCAGTGGAGCCTGAGCGGTGGGTGTTGCCTTCTGACACACCTCTGACACACCTTTAAGACCAAGTTTTGTTCAGGTACAAGCTCTCCCTCTTTGCGAGGACAAATCTGCATGTTCCCCCTCCCCCCCAATAGCTAGGAACCCAAAACAGTCCAGTGGAGCCTGAGCGGTGGGTGTTGCCTTCTGACACACCTCCGGTGATGTCAGGGGGTGTGACATATGCAAATAAGTTATGCTAATAAGTTATGCTAATAAGCTCCTGCACCTCTTTTTCTATGAAATGACCCCTGGTTAGAGTGGAGAGTATGCAGCTGATTGGAGCCAATGGGGAAAGCACAGCAGGATCACGGGGAGCCACCAATCGATCTTTTGGAAACAAAAGCACACGAGGCAGCCCCCCTGGCCAGGGGGAAGGACAGAGCAGAGGGGAAGCAGCTGATCCTAGCCACCGGAAAGAGCCAGACAGCAGGATTTAATCAGCAGGCTGGGGGGGGGGGATTGCGGGGGGACGTTCTACCCGTGGGCCAGATTAAAGTCACAGTGTTCCCTCTAAGCTGAGTTAGTGTGAGGTAGCTCACAGTTTTTTAGCCTCTGGCTCACACATTTTTGTCTTGGCTCAGGAAGGATGGCTCCAGAGCAAACTAATTTATGCAGGAGCCAAATCCCTTGCTCACAACTTTAATGCCAGTAGCTCACAAAGTAGAATTTTTGCTCATGAGACTCCACAGCTTAGAGGGAACATGGGTCATGGGCAGGCCTCTTCTGGCCCGTGGGCCATATGTTTGACGCCCCTGGTGTAGTTGATGCCGTTCGGTCCAGCGATTGTGTTGTCTGGGTGTCACTGCATTTGAAAATGTATTTATTCATTCGATTTCTACCCCAACCTCCCCTACAAGGAGGCGCAGGGCGGGTCGCAACATTTTGTTGAACATTTCATTAAGTAAACATAATAGCATTGAAACATAATATGTAAAACGTGAAATATAAAACCAAATTTAAATCCAATCCAAGGGAGGGCAACTGTTCGAGGCAGTCCGTCATGCCTCCTGCCCAATGCTAACATAGGTGGTGGTTAATTGCAAGCCGTTTTCCAACCATGAAATTGATCCCATGGGGAGAATTGGAGACTTTCTCACAGCAAGTGCCACGAAAGTAATTTCAGAAGTGTTCAACATAACATGTGCTTGCAGGACTTGGAACTGCAGCTCAAGGAGGCCCAGGAAGTGACTGTGGAGTCAAGGAGGACCATAAAAACACTGGAGGAGGAGCTCGCTATAGCCAAAGAAAGACTCTTGCTACAGGAGAATGAAATTCTGCAGAAAACGGGTAAGTAAAAGGGTGCCCTTCTAGAAAGCTGGAGGGGCATTGTGTTGGTGAGCTGGGAAGTCCCCAGTTCATCTCTGAAGAACCAACATCGAGTGCCAGAAAAGGAAGATGGAGACCCAGGCCCAAATTCCAACTCAGCCATGAAGTTCACCAGGTGATTTGGGGCCAGTCCCTCTCTCTCAGCCTAACTCACATTGTGGGGGGGGGGGGTTCAGGAGAAATGGTGGCAAGGGGAGGAAGGGGCGAGGGAGGACAAAGGTACAGAAACAGATAGAAATCTCCCCTTAATCATAAACCCATTAAGTGGCTTTATGCAAGTCACTGTGTTCTTAGTCTCCTTGTATGATGTTGGAGGAATAGCACTGGCCTACCTTACAAGGCTGTTGAAAACATGGGTGGGATCCTACAAATCTGCTGGTGTCAGGGAAAGGCTCCCTGAACTGGAGCCACCATCAACAGAACAGATTTGCAGATCCAGCCCCATCCTGCGGTGATTTCTGTGTGGTACCTTGGCCGTCCAAAACATGCCATTTAAATGCAAGACATGTGCGTTGTTAAGTAATTTGTTGTATTAATCAAACGAGGCGTAATGTGTGTTTTGTGAAATTCACAGAGGCCATGGAAAAGGTGCTGGATTCCCAAAGCAAAGCCAGGGATGAAGTGGAAGACCTGAAGAGCCAGATGCCGCATTTTCAGCAAGTCTTGTTGTCCAAGCAGAGCCCTGGGGGCAAAGACCCGCAGGTGTGCTTTTCTCCCAAAGTCCTTGAGTCCCGGACAGTAAATGTGGTCTGGGAGTTCTTTGCTCAGAATTTAATTCCCAGACATGCAGGACCTCAGCACGCAGAGAGAAGGAATTTAAGTCTTCCTGTTTTCCCTGACCTGCAACAGAGCCAGGGAGCCGCTGTTTGGCCCATCGGGGCAAGTAGCAGCTCCAGGGACTATTTCAGGTTGGGGGAAATTGCACTGAGGTAGGGGAGGCTTAAGTCTCCTTTGGCCATGCGCTGTGGTCCCAGTCATAGGGATTAAATTCTGGGCATGGAACTCTTAGAAGACATCTGATCGACAAGCCCTTGGGGACCAGATGGGCGACTTCATACCATGAGAATCGGCCCTAATCCATTTATGGGGAGGCTCAGTGGAAGAGCCTCTGCTTTGCATGCAGAAGGTCTCAGGTTCAATCCCTGGCATCTCCAGTTAAAAGGACCAGGCATCAGGCGATGGGGAAAACCTCTGCCTGAGACTCTGGAGAGCGGCTGCCAGCCTGAATAGACCCTACTTACCTTAATGGACCAACGGTCTGACTCAGGACAAGGCAGCCATCACTCCATTGGACTATGCGTTGCTGAACCTTCTCATCCACACAGCCAAGGCCTAATCAGTGGGAGGGAGATGCCACAATGGGAGGGGAGATGCAGCCGGTGCAGAATGCGGCGGCCAGGCTGCCGATGGGTCTCCCTAAGTGGGAGCACATCCAGCCTGTGCTAAAGACATTGCACTGGCTGCCAATAGCATACCGGATTTGCTTCAAGGTGCTGGTTTTGACCTTTAAAGCCCTTTATTATTTATTTATTTATTTATCTATCTATTCCTTCTGTTTGTATCCCGCCTTGCTGGACACACTGGCTCAAGGCAGCTAACAAAGTTAAAATAACATAAACAGTACAGAGTTAAAACAATTAATAAATACGATACCAAGTTAAAACAGCAACAGTTTACAAATAAAACCGACAGATGATGGCGATAAGTCTAAATCACATCCAATGATAGGGGTCGCATCCAGGGAGGTCTCAGGCCAGAAGATGTTCTAGATTTCAGGCCAGAAGATGTTCTAGATTTCAGGCCAGAAGATGTTCCAAGGCACATTCATCAGTGGCAGCCCCTAATCAAAAGCGTGGTGTAAGAGCTCTGTTTTGCAGGCCCTGCGGAACTGTAAGACGTCCTGCAGGGCCCTGATGTTCTCCGGAAGCTCATTCCACCAGTATGGGGCCGCCACTGAGAAAGCCCTGGTCCTGGTGATATTCAGCCTGGCTTCTTTCAGACCAGGGAGGGCCAAATGATGTTGCGACCCTGACCTCAGTGCTCTCTGGGGCACATATGGGGAGAGGCGGTCCCTCAAGTAGGCAGGCCCCTGACCATATAGGGCTTTAAAGGTTAGAACCAGCACCTTGAACTGGATCCGGTACGCTATAGGCAGCCAGTGCAGTGTCCTCAGCACAGGCTGGATATGGTCCCATATAGAGAGACCCATCAGCAGCCTGGCTGCAGCATTCTGCGCTAGCTGCAGCCTCCGGATCTGGGACAAGGGCAGCCCCATGTAGAGAGCATTGCAGTAGTCTAATCTCGAGGTGACCATTGCATGGATCACTGTTGCTAGGTCATTGTGTTCGAGGAGGGGAGCCAGCTGCCTGATCAGCTGTAGGTGGTAAAAGGCCGCCTTGGCAGTGGCTGCTACCTGGGCCTCCATTGTTAAAAAGGCATCCAGGAGCACTCCCAGACTCCTAACCCTCAGCGCTGGCACCCATGGCGCCCCACCGAAGGTCAGGGACCTACGTACCTGAGGGACCGCCTTTCCCCATATGTTCCCCAGAGAGCACTATGGTCAGGGGAGCAAAACCACCCCCCCCCCCCGGCCCGAAGGACGCCAGGCTGGTATCGACTAGGACCAGGGCGTTTTCTGTAGCCGCTCCAACCTATTGGAATGAGCTTCTGGATGAGATCAGGGCCCTGCGGGACCTCTCACAGTTCTGCAGGGCCGCAAAAACAGAGCTCTTCCGCCAGGCATTCCGGTAAGGAGCTGCACGTTACCATCTATGCCACGCGCCAAATTTACCGCCAGCCTGAGCCCGCCGAGAGTGGAGGTACCGCTGATGGTATGTTTCTGAACCCCTTTTACCACAGCTATATCGCCATCGATATGTTAATGTTTTTAATAATTTTATATTGCTTTCTATTGTTTCTTTGTGTAAGCCGCCCTGAGCAATGCCTCGGCGGGGAGGGCGGGGTAAAAATCAGAGTAATAAATAAATAAATAAGATGTTGACCTCCTAGGTTTGCTTCAGGTGTTGTTGGAAGGAGCCCTGTGGCTGACCCTGGCAACACAGGCAGCTTCCTTCCCCACAGCTAGAGAGGCTTGCAGGACGGTGTCCCGTGCTAGCAGTAGCCGCTCCCATAAGAGTGTGCATAACGAGGCAGTCTTTCAGCCACATTGGTGGATGTCGTGTGGTTCACCGGACAGACACAGAACAGCAACACCCAGGCAGCCATGGTCATCTTTGAAGCCAGCCTGGTGGGGCCCTTCTGGAATGCCGTGACCCCCTGGAATTTCATAGGGTCTGTTGTCAATCTAGAGCCAGTTCAGAAGTTTGGGAAATAATACATAGTACTCTCTTCAGGGCCCCGATCCAGACAGCCCAGGCTAGCCGGATCTCATCAGATCTCAGAAGTGAAGCAGGGCTGGCCCCCAGGGAGGTCCAGGGTCGCTCCACAGAGACAGGGAATGGGAGACCACCTCTGTTTGTCTCTTGCCTTGAAAACCCTGCGGGGTCCCCATTAGTCAGCCGTGACTCAGCAGGACTATCTTCCTCCATGCTCTTCAGGGCAGAGGATGGGCTGCGTGTTAAAGGATCCTTCTCACCAAAGCAGCCAGTCTGTACGATGACCACTACCACGTCCACATGAAGTGGACAGAAGGCCGCCTTGTCATGGGCCTCCTGGCCGTGGGAGGATGGATGGAATGAGCTGGTGAGCGGGGAGACAGGCTGTCTTCACTCAAGAGACCAGCCCCTCAGAGTCCAGAGTGCGGGACTTTTTAGGGTCAGGGGAAACTCCGTTTGGCCAGCCGCTCACGTCCCCAGATGAGAGCTGAACTGGCTGGAATATTTCTTCTGCCCGGCTGCATTGCTGGTACCAAAGTTCAGAGGAGACCTGGTGGATTCATTCTTGTGGAAAGCTGCCAGGGCGGCGTGGGCAGATGAAGGTGCTCTTAATTCCCTTAATGCCCAGGCCATCAGTAACCCGTATGGGCGTCCAGAGAGTAGAACTGAAGGCTAACGGCACTTGGAGCTACAGCTGACAGGGGTCTGTGCCCTCATCGCTTGTTCCAGCTGCAGTGTGTTCTCTTTGAGGGTTCAATCTCCTGTCCAATTGGAGAAGACAACTTCTAAGGCAGGGCTCCACAACTCTTTCAATTAACAGACTCTGTCAAATTTTGGAGACAGTGTAAGAACGCCAATTTTCTTAACTGAAACAGTACAACTTACCATTACTGCTTCTTTCCTCAACCGAAACAGCGGTCGTTGAGGGTCCTCTATCACCACAGTCCCCAGCCTTTTCAGTGTGGTGACCCACAAGTCCAGATTTTCTTGGTACGGTGACCCATCCAGGGCTGGCCCTAGGGATTTTTGCTGACCCTGGTCAGCATTCCATTATCTATAGTGCCCAACCAGATGTTTTGAGAAGCTAACAAACATCTCACAAAGGATGTGGCTTCCCACGCTGTGAACCCCCCAGCAAGTGAGATCTCAGCATATACGGCCTTTGCCAATGGAGGTTACATTCCAGCCTTTGACCACCACCCCCTCTCCTTGGCATTTACAAGGTCCCAGGTTCAATCCCCACCATCACCAGTGGAAAGGATCAAACAGCAGGTCATGTGAAAACAGCAGCCTGAGACTCTGGAGAGCGGCTGGCAGTCTAGACAATGCTGACTTTGATGGACCAAGGGTCTGATTCAGTATAAGGCAGCTCCATGTATGTTCCATTTGTGTTCCCGCCAGTAAACCATAACTTGAAGAATTTCTTTTCTAAAGAGCCGTGTTTGCTTTAAGTGCGGACGCTCCATTTGGCTCTGGAGCCCTTGGTTGCAGATGCCTGCTTCAAGCTAAGCAATAATGGAAAATTTATTCCCACATACCTGATGTGTGGATGTGAAAAGTGCCATCAAAGTTGCACCCGACTCATGGCGACCCCAGCAAAGGGCTTTGAAGGCGAGTGAGAAGAAGAGGTGATCGGCCATGGCCTTCCTCTGCAGAGCCTTCCTTGGTGGTCTTCCATCTAAGTACCAAGTTACCAACCCTGCTTTGCTTAGGGGACCCCAGCAAGGGGCTTTCAAGGCAAGGGAGAAGCAGAAGCAATGGTTTGCTGTGGCCTTCCTCTGCAGAGCCCTCCTTGGTGGTCTTCCATCTAAGTACCAAGTTACCAATCCTGCTTTGCTTAGACTTACGGGGACCCCAGTAAGGGGCTTTCAAGGCAAGGGAGAAGCGGAAGCAATGGTTTGCCGTGGCCTTCCTCTGCAGAGCCCTCTTTGGGGGTCTCCCTTCCAAGTAGAACTCTGCTTAGTTTCCAGGATCTGACCGGATCAGGCTTTACTGCGCCACCTCCCCTCCACATATCTGATAGCGACAGCATGTTTGTTAACCCTTTTGGCCTTCTGCTGCATCGCAATGCGGGGCTGTTTTAATCGACTGTCATCTCTGAATTCTCTCTCGTAGCCCAGAGGAAACTCAGGTGCAGAAACAGAAGCTCTAATAGACCGGCACAGGGAAGAGCTTCGCAAAACCAAGCAAGGATCGAAAGAGGAGAAAATGCTTTTGAAAGAGCAGCTGGCAAAAGGACTGGAGGATCTGGTCAGGAAGAAGCAGGCTTTTGAACTCAAAGCCGCCCAAGCCGCCACTGATGCCGCCAGGAAAAAAATGCAGAAGGTGGGCCGGTTCTATTAATAGGCACCGTGATTCATGCGTTCCTTTAAATCACTTTGGCCAGGGTGACGTCATTCAAATTATTCTCAGTAGATGAGGGGCTTTAAATCACTACAAGGATTTTATGGCTATGTTTTTCTTTTTTAAAAAAAGAAGAAAAGCTCAGCTGATGTCTTCCTATTAAATAGAAAGCTTCCAAGGGAGGGGAAGGTTAGCTTACCCTTGACACGTTTCCTCTTTTCCTGGCATTGGCTGCCCAGCTGGTGACACCGGTCTGACAGATGTCAAGCTGCCCCCAAGAATAATGGGGTGGGCGACACTGAGGCCAGCGGATGGTTTTCCTTTGCTGCTTAAAGCTTGAGTCGGATTGATATGGTTCCCCCGCCGGCAACTAGTTTTATTTACTTACTTGTTTGTCTGTTTGGCTGGTCTCCTATTTTGGACCAATCCTGACCTGAAGCCCAGTCTCCTCAGATCTCAGAAGCTAAGCAGGGTCAGTCCTGGTTAGCACTTGGCTGGGAGGCCACCAGGGAAGCCACAGAGAGTGATTAAAATGGGGAGTTCACTGCCAGAGGATGTAGTCATGGCCACGGGAATAAACAGCTTGAACAGGGGATTCGATCGATTCAGTTGTCAGTGGCTACTGGGCATGGTGACTGAGGGGAACCTCCACAGTCAACCTCTGAATCCCAGAGCCAGGAGGCAACATCAGGGGAAGGCCTCAGCCTCTCTGCCCTGTTGTTGGCCCTCCAGAGGAACTGGTTGGCTGCTGTGTGAGGCAGGATGCTGGACTAGATGGACTGTTGGTCTGATCCAGCAGGGCTCTTCCTATAAATTTCTAATGCCTCTCTGCCCACCTCCTCATCCTGTCTCCTGTCTCACACAGAGGCCAACCAGTTCCTCTGGAGGGCCAACAACAGGGCAGAGAGGCTGAGGCCTTCCCCTGATGTTGCCTCCTGGCTCTGGGATTCAGAGGCTTAGTGCCTCTGAATGTGGAGGTTCCCCTCAGTCACCATGGCTAATAGCCACTGCAGACTTATCCTCCATAGATCTATCTAATCCCCTTCTAAAGCTGTTTATCCCTGAGGCCAGCACTACATCCTCTGGCAGTGAATTCCACACTTTAAGCACTCTCTGTGCACAGTAGTATTTCCTTTTGTCTGTCCTGAACCTACTGCCCGTCAGCTTCACTGCATGCCCTCGAGTTCTAGCACTTTGGGAGAGGGAGAAAACATCCTCTTATTAACAGCCTTCATCAGGTCCTGCAAACTGCATCAGGTCCACATTCTACCTTATAATATATACTTTCCCATATTTCTACGTCTCTGTAGTTGGCATTTCCCTGAAGGCATTTAATCCATCTATTAACACACACATCTACCAACTCTTATATGTGTCACAGTGGGAAAGCAGTCCCCAGCAGGAAAAGCACATTGAGGGTGGGGGATCCTCTCCAAGACAAAAGTTTTTAACATGCCCTCTGACTTCACTAGCCTACATCTTGATTCTTTAAAGTCTAAACCACCACGTGTGCTAGCCCCAGGCGAGAGTTAGAACAAAGAGCAATAAACTTTCTAAGCCTCCAACCCTGGGACATCTTCTGATCTATTGTTTAATCCAATTGGAGAATCCCAAACCTAACTAATTATGCATTTTAACACCTTGCTCCAGCGGCAACTACGTGCATGATCTGTCACTGGGTCTCTAACGAAATAGCTAGGATATCAGCATGCATCAACAAACTTGTAAATTCTTCCAAGACTTCAGGGAGAGAACTTGCAAACTCCAACAGAGGGAGCGATGCTCTGTATTCTTGGTGCTTGGGGGGGGGGGCAACAGTGGGAGGGCGTCTGGAATTCTGGCCCCGCTGAGTTTTAGCCACTGTGTGACTCAGAGTGTTGGACTTGGATGGGCCATTGGCCTGATCCAACATGGCTTCTCTTATGTTCTTATGGTGGTGGTTTGTCTTTTTTAGGGATTGGTTGATTTTGTAGGTTAAAAGCCAGATGTATTCTGGAGCTAGTGGGGCAGGTTTGATCGGCTTGAAACAGACACTAAAGACCCAGGATGCCTGGAGAAAAAGATGCTCTGTAAAGGAAGCGCATAAAGCAGATTAGAAAAAGACAGAAAGGGAGCATGGGGTGCTTATTAGATGGCAGGAAGGAGAAGTATCTGCCAGATTAGAGCTGGGGGAAGTAAGATCTATGGATTGTCATACAAGTTTAATAATTCCAGATCTGGTGCAAAAAGCTCAAGTGCAACTTAGTAAAGATAGAGTCGTGTTCATTTGTTACCGTGCAAAATTTATGTTAAAATGCTCCAAATCTTTTAAAGGTTGCTTCTGTTCTTATCAAAATTTGATGTTGGTTTATGTTTCTTGTATAATTTAAATTATTATATGATCCCCAAACGTCTAAGTTTGGGGATCATATACTGATTTAAATTATACAAGAAACATGCTTTTGGATTTTTTTCTTTTGCAGACTGAATATTTAGATGTCAGAGATTTAGATGTCACAGCCAGTTTGTAGACTGAATATTTAGATGTCAGAGCCAGTTTGGTGTAGTGGTTAAGAGCGTGGACTCTAAGTGCGTGGGGTTTGATTCCCCACTCCGCCACTTGCACCTGGCTGGATGACCGTGGGCAAGCCATAGCTCTGATAAGAGCTGTCCTTGAAAAAGAGCAGTGTCTGTCAAGAGCTCTCTCAGCCCCACCTACCTCACAGGGTGTCTGTTGTTCGGAGTGGGAGGGGAAGGAGTTTGTAAGTCGCTCTGAGACACCTTCGGATAGCGAAGGGCGGGGTATAAATTCAAACTCTTCTTCTCTTCTTCTTATATCCTAACATAAATGACCCACGTCTGCTCGTGGGTCCAGTAGGTAATGGATTGCACGGCCTCAGACAGTGGGGCTACAAGATACGTAACAGGCGTCTGGGTGGTCAGAGTGGGGGCAAAGACTGCCTTGCTTAACAAGACATGGAAGCAAATGGCAGAGGATGGACCAGAGTAGGCAGATAGGAAAAAAAAATTGGTGGAATAGTACATTAGCAGAGTGCTTAAAGCTCATGGCATAGCAGAAGTATCCAGTGTCCGTGTCCACTGCTGTAGAGAATAAAGTTACACATGGAATCTTTCCACTTTAGCAAACTGAGTCCTTTATTGTAAGGAACTCCATTCTAGGCAGGATGGAGTAGAGATGGGATTCTAATCTAGTTTAACTCGCTAGGACAGATGGAGATGCAAGACATAGGGTTGCCAACCCCCTGCTGGCACCTGGAGATCTCCCACTATTACAGTTGATCTCCAGACAAGCCATATCAGTTCCCCTGGAGAAAATGGCTGCTATGGACGGTGTAGGGTTGCCAAATGGGCCTGGGGGGCGGGGAATCCCCTGCTTCGGAGGCCCCAATTTCCGCCCCGGCGGAATCGGGGCCCGGGGGAACCCCGCCCCCGAAGCTGCGTCGACGTTGGGGGCGTGGCTGAGCTCGTCGGGTGGGGGAACCATATGGTTTTCCCCCCAACGAGCCCGGCCACGCCCCCAACGTCAGCAACATTGCATGTCACTTTAGGTGATGTGCTGCCGGCGCGCGAACTCCCGGACACCGGCACGGCTCCCCCGCAACCCTAGGACGGTGTATTCTGTGGCATTATACCCTGTGGAGGTCCCTCCCCTCCCCAAAGCCAGAAGGAAGGAAGATTCCCGGAGCATGGCAATCTACACGACAAAGGGGGTAGCATCAGAAATAGCAGAAAGGAAGGGATGCACAAGTCCTGACCAGTATTCCCTCTAAGCTGAGTTAGTGTGAGCTAGCTCGCAGTCTTTTAGCCTCTGGCTCACACATTTTAGTCTCGGCTCAGGAAGGAGGGCCCCAGAGCAAACCGATTTATGCAGTAGCCAAACGGCTTGCTCACAATTTTAATGCCAGTAGCTCACAAACAGGTCCGGCCCGAGGGGTTTGTGCGCCTCAGATGCCAACCTCCCGGTGGGGCCTGGAGACGTGCCGGGGGGGGGGGGGAGACAGAGTGACGCCACATGCTGGGGCCCGGAGAGAGTGCCTGCTGCCCTGGGCCTGGCCCGCAGGAGGAGGGAGAAGGGGCCAGCTGGCAGGAAGGCAGAAGCACGCCCCCCCCCCCCAGCCCAGCCGGTTGCCTCCGTGCGCACTCCCTACTCCCCCCCCTCGGCGGCAGCCTGAAGAGGCGGAGAAGCGCCCAGCTGTGCCTCCACACGGGCGCGCTCGCCTTTCCTCCGAGGCAGGGGAGGAGCCAGGTTGTGTCCCCTGGCCGCGGGGGCTCGCTTCTGACGCACCCCTCCTCCTCCTCCTCCTCCCGTGGCCCCAAAAAGCGAGCGGGGAGGCTGCTGCTGGTCTGTGATCAGGCCAGAAGCCTCCTCCTCCTCCGGCGATCCTCATTAAAAGGGAGGGAGTCCCTTCCAGACGTCTGTGGGTGCGGAGCCAGGGAGTGACCCTCCATCCTCCTGAACCTCCACCCAGAGCTCCCTTCCCCGCCCCAAGTCCCCGCTCCAGCCGGGCCCAAGTTTGCTCCCCAACACACAGCGCCCGGGCAGAAGACGCACCGTCAGCCCTCACAGAGGGACCGAGGGGAGGCGGCGGCAAGGCACCTTCTTCCTCGGCCACCGCTGGGAAAAGGAAGAGGAGAGCCGGGAAAAGGAAGGGCAGCGAAAGTGAAACTGACTTTTCCCAGCTCTCCTCTTCCTTTTCCCAGCGGTGGCCGAGAAAGAAGGTCACTCCGTGAGGGCTGACGGCGCGTCTCTCTGCCGAGCGACTCCCTCCTCCCCGGGCGCCTGCATGCCCAGGAAAAGGAAAGCAGCAGGAAGAGCTAGGGAAAAGGAAGGCTGCTCACACCGGGGCTCCTGCTGGTGGTGGTGGTGGTACTGGTGCCGCAGCGGCGCCTGGCTCCATGGAGGGCGCTCCTCCGGCTCCTAGTGCCGGGAACGTGCCGGGCTCCTGGGGCTGCGCCACTGTCTCCCTCCGCCATGCTGGCCAGGCGTGCCGAGGGCCGCCCCTGCCTCTCCTTCCGCGCCCTAAAGATTGGCTCGCGCTCTAGGCGAGTGCCTAGCTCGCCTAGCGGGTGAGCCGGCCCTGCTCACAAAGTAGAATTTTTGCTCCACAGCTTAGAGGGAACACCAGTCCTGACCTACCCATAACTCTCTGTAGTCTGCTTCTGGAATCCGAGGCTAAGATAAAGTTGCAAAGTCCTCCACTTCCAGCAACAATAAATTAAGCCGCCGTCTACAAACCCAAATGAATGAGAGTCCAGGATGTAGGGTTGTCGGGGCAAAGGTTCCAAGAAGAGGGGAGCATTCGTCTACCCCCTCTGCTTCCTGTGCCCCTTTCTGGGGATTTTGGGGGGGCACCTTGGTAAGCTCACTTAAAATTTACAGCTTCCTAGTGTGAATGGAGTTACTGCAGAACTGGGTTGTGCTTCTGTAAGACCATATCCTGGAGAAGTCCTGTCAACACTCCACAATAAGTAAAACTGCTCCAGAATTTGTGATTTCATTTAATTAGTACTGTTGAATTTCAAGATTGTAGCAGCCCTTGGTCAATAAAATAAGCAAACAAATAAGAGCATATTGCTGTTCAGGGGTCATTTCGTAGAAAAAGAGGTGCAGGAGCTCATTAGCATAACTTATTTGTATATGCCACACCCTTTGACATCACCAGAAGTGTGTCAGAAGGCAACACCCACCGCTCAGGCTCCACTGGACTGTTTTGTGATTGCTAGCTATTGGGGGGGGGGGATGTGCAGATCCGTCCTTGCAGAGGAGGGAGAGCTTGTACCTGAATAAAACTTGGTCTTAAAGGTGCCACTGGACTGTTTTGGACTGGGGGGCCAGGGGGAGCTCTGCAACTTACCTGGCTGCTTCTTGCTTTGACAGAAGGCTGCTGGGAGCAGGGGGTGGGGCTGTTGCATGTGCCCGCCCCCTGGGCTCTTTACTGCCGGAGCTCTGCTCCTGTGTGCTCCTGCAGGAAATGACCCCTGTTGCTGTTTCATCCCATCGTACCAACACTTAATTTTGCTTTTTGAAGCTTTACAGGACTTAATAGCCCAGGCTAGCCTGATCTTGTCAGATCTTGGAAGCGAAGCAGGATCGGCTCTGCTTGTGTTTGGGTGGGAGACCTCCAAGGAATACCAGGGCTGCTGTGCTTGGATGTGGAGACCGCTGTGGTCAGTGCTTGGATTGGAGACCGCCAAGGAAGTCCAGGTTTGCTACGCAGAGGCAGGTAATGGCAAACTACCTCTGAACATCTCTTGCCTTGAAAGCCCTACTGGTTCGCCATAGGTTGGCTGTCACTTGACGGCAAAAAAAGAAGACGACTTAATACATGGTACAGTTTGGGGAGGCAGGGGTTGCACTTTAATGGGTTACTTCATTGGTGGGGGAATCTACCACATTCCCCACATCGGTTATCCTCTTGACAGATGAATGCTTTGGTTTCTTGTCTGGTTCCGTTCAGTGAATTTAGATCCTCGCTCCGTGGTTTGGAATCGGAATCTTTACATTTTGTAGGCTGCCACTGGGATCAAAGCTCTCTGGAACGGCCCCCTTTTTTCCTCCGTGACGGACTTCCCTGATCATTTGCAAAACTGAGTTGTGTCCGCGAGTGAGCTCTAAATACAGATATCCTCAGGCCATTTGTAAAGGACCACATGATGTTTGCAGATCCCGCTGGACTGTGTGCGATAGGTGCATTCAGTTTGGGGTTCGGAGGCTCCGAAAACCCACTGACGGCTTAGATGGGGGTAAGGGAACAAATTTAGAGTCTAGTGGCACCTTTAAGACCAACAAAGGTTTATTCAAGGTGTGAGCTTTTCAGTGCATGCCAGACAGATCTGATGAGGCTAGCCTGGGCTGTTAAGTCCTGTACGGCTTCAAAAAGCAAAATTAGCTGTTTGTATGATGGGATGAAATAACAATATGCTTTTATTTGTTTGTTAGCCTTTAATGACACCCAAATCGACCACCCGAGACAGCCCGCAAGCCATACCTCATGGCAAGTCTCCCTCAGGCGCCACTGCAGAATTCTCAGTCGGCTTCCTTGTGTTTCGTCCACCGCTCATCTGTGGCCGTGGCAGGTGCTGTGCGAGGGGTCAGCCCTGACATTGGTTGTTCATGCCGTGCTCAGCCTCAACACCTATGAAACAGGAGTAAAATGAAAGTGTCTCTGAGCAGGTACAGAGTGCATTTCCACCTTGACTGAGCAACTACAGAGCGTCCTCCGAAGTTAGACAGAAGGCTATCTCAGTCAGACGATGCTATTTCCAGAGAGACTTGAGTCCCGGCATCTTTCCCCCCTAGAAATTAAGCTCTGTGAAATACACATTCCCCAATGGTTGGAGCTGGCCTTTTAAAAGGTGTGGAGCATTTAATGTCCTTAGGGGGCAGTCAGATTAAGATTATTAAAGTTAAAGGTAATTAAATTAAGGTTACAAACAAGGTTACACAAACGAATGGCTAATCAGGCACCAGGGCATCAGGTGAGCAAGTGGCCGGCTGCGGCAAGCCCAGCTTGGGCTACTCGGCGACGAAGAGCGGCAGCCTGCCTGCCTTCATGGGGCCCAGCCCACAGTGTGGTCACAGCGGCGGCAGCAGCAGCTTTGGCCACTCAGCTGAGAAGTTGGCTGCATCCACTGCATCACCCGGGAAGACGTGGGCATGAACGCGCTGCGAGGGCTCCATCGCTGCAGCAGCATTTGATAGTTGAAGGACGAGGAGGTGCCGGGCTGCAGGGCCAAGCCCCGCCATATGCCGGGGCCGGGCTGATGCTGCTGGCCGTCAGAAGCCTCACGCCAATGCTGTAGCCGCGAGTTCATCCCTGCTAAGTCGTCGACGTGCTGCCAGTGGGAAGGTGAGTCCGAGGCTGGGCACATGGCCTTCTCTGCCGCCTCACCCCAAGGCCGTTCCTGCCGCCACCCAGCAGCCTAGGCTTCTGAGGGCCCACGGGTGGGTGGGGAGGAGGCGGTGGAGACAATGGCCTATTAGGGGAAAGCAGGAGGAGGGAAAAGGGCCCAGCAGGGGGCTTAACATGAGGCGCCGGAGCTCGGGTGCACAGCTGCCCGTCCTCCTGGCGTGACTTAATAAATATTTTTTTAAAAAGCTTTCTGGCATGGGTTTTTATGGGGCGTGGCTTTTAATTACGGGGCTTGTGGCCCCGAAATGCCCCACTGTAGCTACGGGCCCACAACCTAGCAGCCTGAGTGCAACTCAGAGAAAGCATGTTCAATTTGCTTAGAGCAGACTCATCTGTGACTGCAGCCATGAAATTAAAAGACGCCTGCTCCTTGGGAGGAAAGCGATGGCGAACCTCAACAGCATGATAAAAAGTAGAGACATCTCCCTGCCAACAAAAGTCCGCATGGTCAAAGCAATGGTATTCCCAGTAGTCATGTATGGCTGCGAGAGTTGGACTATAAGGAAGGCCGAGCGCCGAAGAATAGATTCTTTTGAACTATGGTGCTGGAGAAGACTCTTGAGAGTCCCTTGGACTGCAAGAAGATCAAATCAGTCAATCCTAAAAGAAATCAACCCTGACTGTTCCCTGGAAGGCCAGATAATGAAACTGAAGCTCAAATACTTTGGCCACCAAATGAGAAGGGAGCACTCACTGGAGAAGACCCTGATGCTGGGAAAGATTGAAGGTCAAAGAAGACGGGGACGGCAAAGGATGAGATGGTTGGACAGTGTCATCGATGCAACGAACATGAAACTGAGCAAACTTCAGAGGACAGCGGAAGACAGGAGAGCCTGGCGGGATCTAGTCCATGGGGTCGCGAAGAGTCGGAATCGACTGTGCGACTGAACAACAAAAAAGACTCATAATCAGATCTTAAAACTGTGGGAGAAGGCACTCTGTTGGGTGGCCGTGGTCTTGGCACTGTAGTACCTGATGTTTCTCCAGTAGCTGTGACTGGCATCCTCAGAGGTATAACACTGAAAGATGGAGTACTCTCTGTGTCCACGTCCCTGCGGGATCTGTTACATTTCCTCAGGGCCTGCAGGGCAGAGATCTTCCGCCAAGCATATGGTTGAAGACAGCAATGGGTTTTTGATGATCTTTAACAAGTTCTTAGTGGTTTTAACATCTAGCCGGCTTTTAACTGCTTTTCGCCTCCCTTTCCCCCATGCTGATGTAAATTGAGGGGGGTTAGGAAATTGTATTATGGCACCGTGCAGATGTTGGGCTTTATGGGTTGGGATTTGAGATTGTGTATTATATTTATATGTATTGTTATTAATTTTGTTGTGCACTGGCCTGAGCCCGCTTGCAGGGAGGATGGCGTAGAAGCCTAATGAAATAAATGCATTCCTCAATGACAGCCACTTAATTTTTCAATTCCAGGAGGTTCAGGCACAGTTGGAGGAGTTAAAAAAGAAACACGAGAAGGAAATAAGGCAGCTGCAGAGAGAGAAAGATGCTATTCATGGGAAGCTTCAGGACTGTTCTCAGGAGGTAGGTGAAGCAGAACTCCCATCGGCGATAATAAATGGGATTTCAATTTCTTTTCTCCCCCTTGGAAGATTTTTTGATGAGATTTGTAAAGTGTCATCTGTAAGGTATCCGTGGATGAAATCTCACCGTACTGAACGATGGCCATAAAATACAGATTATTTCACATGCAGGTCTCTCGAAGATGCTCCACATGGGCTGAATACGTTACTTCCCTGTAGAAGGGTAAAGCGGCACTTTACCTTCCTACGTATTTCCCCAAAGACCCTCTGGCAGTCCTACCCCAAAATCCCACCTCCAGAGTGCTGAGCCAGTCCTTGAGATCTTGGCCTCAAATCCAAGTGATTGTTAGCCAATCACAGCCCATGGAACTCCACTGGATGGGAGGGGGTGAGCAAGCCCCAATTTAAAAGGGGGGAGGAAGAACTTCTTTCCTCAGATGGGATTTTGTGGCTCTGGACCAGAATGTCAGTTTAGTTAGATTTGGGGGGGGGGGGGCTTTCATTTATGGGGGGCAATCAGCTTAAGGAAGAAAACTTGTTTTAGTGAGACAAATAAGAATCCCGTTAAAGGGCCAGAATTCCTAACTTGCCCATACAGGTTGTTTGGGCAGGAGTTCTGTCTGTTAAAAGCACAACCATGAACCTGGAGAGGATCCTGTCTATTATGGAAATAGGTTTGGGTGAAACTTCGTAATCTGAAGTAACCTGTCTGGAGAGAGGGGGATCATATCTCCCCTCAGGGTTTATCTGCATTAACTGAGACTTACCTACAAAGAACACTCCGGAACCGCTGATTTCAGGAGGGGTGTTGAAAGACCTGAGTCAGACTGAGATGACGAGACAGGAGGTCCTACGACTGATAGACAACTTAAAAACTAATAAATCACCAGGCCCAGATGGCATACATCCGAGAGTTCTGAAAGAACTTGTGGATCTCCTGACAAAAATATGTAATCTTTCATTAAAATCTGCCTCCATTCCTGAAAACTGGAAGGTAGCTAATGTCACTCCCATCTTTAAAAAGGGTTCCAAAGGAGATCCTGGAAACTACAGGTCAGTCAGTCTGATGTCGATACCGGTTAAGTTGGTGGAAATTGTTATTAAGGAAAGAATTCGTAGGCACATTGATGAACAAAAACTATTGAGGCAGACACAGCATGGGTTCTGTAAGGGAAGATCTTGTCTTACTAACCTGTTAGTGTTTTTTGAGGGAGTGAACAAATGTGGACAAGGGGGACCCAATAGATGTTGTTTACCTTGACTTCCAGAAAGCTTTTGATAAAGTTCCCCATCAAAGGCTCCTAAGTAAGCTCAATAGCCACGGGATAAAAGGACAAGTCCTCTTGTGGATCAAAAACTTGCTAATTAATAGGAAACAGAGAGTGAGTATAAATGGGAAATTTTCTCAGTGGAGGGTGGTAGTCATTGGGGTACCACAGGAATCAGTACTGGGTCCGATGCTTTTTAATATGATTATTAATGATTTGGAGTTGGGAGTAAGCAGTGAAGTGGCTAAATTTGCAAATGACATGAAGTTGTTCAGGGTGGTGAGAACCAGGGAGGATTGTGAGGCACTCCAAAGGGATCTGTCGAGGATGGGCGAATGGTAGTCAGCGTGGCAAATGGGGTTCATTGTGGCCAAGTGCAAAGTGATGCACATTGGGACTAAAAATCCTAGCTATAAATACATGTTGATGGGGTCCGAACTGGCAGAGACTGACCAAGAGAGAGATCTTGAAGTCGTAGTAGATAACTCACTGAAAATGTTGAGACAGTGTGCAACTGCGATAAAAAACGCCAACGCTATGCTCGGGATTATTAGGAAGGGAATTGAAAACAAATCACCCAGTACCATCATGCTCCTGTATAAATCGATGGTGTGACCTCATTTGGAGTACTGTGTACAGTTCTGGTCACCACACCTCAAAAAGGATATTATAGCATTGGAAAAAGTGCAGAAAAGGGCAACTAGAATGATAAAAGGGTTGGAACACTTTCC